AAACCAAAGCTAAGAAGTTTCCTGAATACAATCAAACACTTTAAGGACACAGTAGCAGGGGCAGGGGCATGGGGACCATGCTTTCAGGGAACATCTGGGTCAACTGGCATAACAGAGTTTGTTAAGAAAATGTTCTGCATCCTACTTTGGTTAAATGGCATCTGGGGTCTTAAAAGCTAGCAAGCGGCCATCTAAGACGCATCAATTGGTCCCAACCACCTGGAATAAAGGAGAATGAAAAACGCCAAAGACACAAGGAAAGTATTAGTCCAAGAGACAGAAAGGGCCACATAAACCAGAGACTTCATCAGCCTGAGACCAGAAGAACTAGGTGCTGGCCGACTACCACCAATGACCACCCTGATAGGGAACACAACAGAGAGTCCCTGGTGGAGCAGAGGAAGGGTGGGATGCAGAACTCAAATTCCAGTAAAAAGACCAGACTTAATGGTCTGAGACTGGAGGGACCCCAGAGAGCACGGCCCCCGGACTCTTTATCAACCCAGAACTAAAACAATTCCCAAGGCCAACTCTTCAAAGATTGGACTGGACTGTGGGACATAAAATGATACTCATGAAGAGGGTGCTTCTTAGCTCAAGAAGATACATGAGACTAAATGGGCAGCTCCTGTCCGGAGGTGAGATGAGAAGGCAGAGAGAGTCAGGAGCTGGTTGAATGGACACGGGAAATCAGGGCAGGAAAGGAGCAGTGTGCCGTCACAGTATAGGGAGAGCAATTAGGGTCACATAACAATGCATGTATAAATTTTTCTATGAGAGGCAAACTTGAATTGTAAACTTTCACTTAAACTACAACAATAAAAAATATATATATAAAGAAAATTAAAAAAATAAGAATGCTGCTGACTTAACTTGTATGAACTCCCTACTTGTAAACCCCTTAAAAGTAACCTGTCTGCTCACCCTTGGGGAGCAGTCTTGGCAGCAGCAGCTCCAACTGACTCCTTTCCTTGTACAATGAAATAAAGGTGCCTTTCCTGTTCTCCCACCTCGGTCTCTTGTTTATTGGCCAATGCAAGTCAAGCCAAGCAAGAACCTGGGGTTTCCACCCAGTAACATTTCTGGTGAGCCAGCCAGGAGCCATCTGCTAGGTTCCTGAGATGGATCGGACAACAGACCGGCCCTGATGTCTGGCACCACCAGGAGACCTCTCCTGGAGACCCTGAAGCAGCTCTGGAAGCTGATTCACCCAGACCCAAAACATGACTGTGGGAGACACAAAATGCACCTGGGTTGTTTGGTAAGTACCTAGGTAAGGCCTTAGAAGAGTCCCAAGAAGCAGGAGGAATTGACTGCTGAGGGCATAAAAGGCTCAGATACTGGTTAAGTTGGTGCGCCGGATTAGGTTGTGTGTGTTAACTGTTTGTATCCAGAGAATGGGGAACGTTCAAGGGATCCCGGAATGCAGCCTGCTAAGATGCATCCTTAGAAGTGGGAACAGAGACTCGGACAGACATGGCTCTGGCAGCATGCCTGTCCTTTTCCTACTTTTGCCTCTTTAAATATATGCAGAATAAAACCTTTCTTTTTGCTTTACTAAACTTTACTGAAAAAGAGTTAACAGTATAGTCGTTGCAGGGATTCTAAAGCCACGAATCCAGTTGACCTTGAGGAGACCTGGACTGTGGAGCAGAAGCCGGCAAAAAAAAAAGAGGTCCTATCTTCCGGACCCACGCATTTGCACTCCACACTCCTTTGACACCGACGGGGTGAGTGCTCTCGGAAAACAAGCCTTCGCTTATTCTTTTTGTTTTCTTTCTCATGTCTTCTTAAGTTTTGTTTGGCATATTTCTTTTGAAAACCAGTTGTTTGATTAAAGAGAATCTTTTAGATTTTTTTTTGCTTGATCATTTGGTTAAGAGTGACGTTTACTAACTTCTGGTTCACTGCAGTTTAACGTCTGGATTCAGGCGCTTGAAACGTTAAAGGGACTATAAGCCACAAAACTCGAGCACGGGTTAACCAGTAAAAGCCATTAGGGCGGGCGCCGGCACTCATCACGAGTGTTAGAGATCTCCATGACAGGATAAACTGGTAGCAAGACAGGCTACAGCACTAGAGAAAACCTGGAAAATAGTGTTCTGTTCTGCCAAATTCACAGGGAGAAGTGGTAACTCCACACCTGTTTTATGACATAGTTTCTCAATAAAAAAATCACAATGTTAAAATTAAAATCAGCAGCAGCTACTTTAAAATGCTTTCCAATTAAAGGAACTAGTATATTTAAGGTCTAAAATAAGAGAGCAGGTCTCTAGCCAACAAAATGAATTAAGTTTAAAAAAGAAAACCAAAAGCTAGAACCTTACAGCTTAACATTTTTGATAAATAAGCTTGGATTTCTTCCCGCAACTGAGACACTGGTTTAGGGTTCATATTTAAAAACACTATATATCCCAGTCCCCAGTCTCTGAAGTCATATAGCTTCAAGAAAGCTATTAAAAGGACCACTTCCAACTTAGTAGAGACTTTTTTTAAGACAAAAGAAAAAATGTTTTTTTTATTTTATCGTTGCACTTTAAGTGAAAGTTTACAATTCAAGTTAGTCTCTCATACAAAAATTTATACATACATTGTTATGTGACCCTAATTGCTCTCCCTATACCGTGATAGCACACTGTTCCTTTCCACCCCTGATTTCCCATGTCCATGCAGTCAGCTCCTGACCCTCTCTGCCTTCTCATCTCACCTCCGGACAGGAGCTGCCCATTTAGAAAGACAAAAGAAAATTTAAAAAAAAAATTGCTGCTTTACTACCGTTACCAAAACTTAGAGCGATCCCAATCATAAAAGAACTGTAAACAAGTTCTATTGTAAGAGAACTCTAAGAAGCAAAAAAAATAATAATAATAATCACAATGAGACACATCTAAAATGGCCCAGAAAAAAATGTTTTCACCTCTAACCAGAGACTTAAGGTTATATCCATCTCAATGAATTCGTCAGTTAAACAGAAACTTTGTGACTTCCAAAGCTAATTGATAAAATCTTTAAGGGCTAAAATTAGATTGAGAAAAACAGAAACAAAAACTTGGAATGTTTAAAGAAACTTCATTTCAACAATTATGTTTTATGGTATACAAGCTTAAAATAATTTCCAAGATATTTTAGGTAACTACAGATATTGAGTAAATAGATACTGGTCATAATTTAAGTCTATATACTTTTGCTTTTTACAGCACAGACACAAAAAATTGGGTCTGCTAATGAGTGTGTTCATTTTTGCCATTTTAAAAGGATGCACTATAATAAATATAGAACAATGTTTAAGAGGTTTATTAAAAAGAAATTTATTTAATATGGTCAAAAGTTTTATTTGCCTGATTAAAGTTTAATGGTTTAACTTATGAGATTTTTAGAGTTTTAATGTTAATAATGGAGCCCTGGTGGCACAGTGGTTAAGTGTTTGGCTCCTAAAAAAAAGGTCAGCAGTTCAAATCCACCAGCTGCTCCTTGGAAACCCTGTGAGGCAGTTATACTGTGATAAATGTTTATCTGTCTGACTAAAGTTTAATGGTTTAATTTATGAGATTTTTAGGAGATTTAACATTAAATAATACATAAAACAAAGAACTGGGTTTCTCACTGTTAAAATAACAAAAATATTCTTTGATTTCTGAGTTAAAGGGTTAATTTATTCTTTGTATAATCTGCCTTGAGGACAAAGGTTCAGCCTCTCATTAAAATAAAATTCCTGAGTCGAAAACCAAGCCAAACAGCTTGAGAGAAAAAAAAAATTATATAAAGGAAAGGTTTATTTAATTTGTTATAAACTACATAAAATGTGCAGTCAGTATCAAAAGAAATGCCTGATTCTCTTTGGGTCAAAATTTATATGTGAGTATTTCCTCTTATGTTTTTGCTTAATATTAGACAGCAAATGCATAATATTATGCCATAGTTTTATTATTGTTTCTTGGCCGCAGCTTTATTTTTTTCAAATCTAGCATCAAAGCCAAAGGTTTGACTGGGGCATCCACATCATTTACCTACGAAATCTTTGTATTACTATTCAGGTATTTAGAGAGTTGATAATCTTGGCATATCCTGACTATATGGTATTATGTCTCAAAATTATTATATATCTGAAGCTCTTTAAAAATAAGGTTAATCATTACATTTAAAAATATTTTTGTCTAAAGTTTTTTTAAACCAACTTTATTTGGCTCTGAATTTTATAATTAAGAGTATTATGTTTATAAATTAATCATGGCCATATTAAGATTTGTCGTCTACAGATAAATTTTTACTTTGCTAATTTGCTTAAAATGTTTGACCAAAATATCTCAACAAAAAGATGGACTATATTAGACTTATGACAAGAACTGTGACTGGACTGAATCAAGATTTCCAAAACTCTTATGTAGAAGCTGACGGGTTCACAGACTGCACCTGATCAAGAATCACATGGAACAGAAATTAACTACATTTAAGACTGAGTAAAGGAATACTATGGGTTTTATGTGGAAATATTGCTTATGTTTTAAGGTCCTACTTTCTGGATATAAGAAACCATTTTCCTTTCTCTAAATTATTTACTAATGGGTTTAGATATTGTAACTCTTGAATTAGAAGTTCTTACTGGTAAACTTAGCAAAGTTGTGAATATCATAGCCAGAGAAGTGTCTGAAACTCATTCGAGTTATGATTTTACAAAATAGAATAGCATTAAAATTCCTATTAGTTCTCTCAAAAAAACAGTTTTGTGACACTTCTGCTTCTGAGAAAGTGACCTATGACTGTTAAAATGTAAACCAAGGAAGGGCAGCTAGCCCTCGAGAAGAACACTTAGTATGTTTTAAACAGATTAACTGAAGACCTCCAACAGGAGAGATCCATCCTATATTATCTTGCTAATCATGTATTCTTCAATGAAAATTTGGTTGTCACATGTTGTCTTAGGCTGGGTTCTCTAGACAAGCAAAACCAGTATAGTGTATAAATATATACAGAGAGAGATTTATATCAAAGAAACAGCTCACGTGACTGTAGAGGCTGGAATGTCCCAAGTCCATGGATTAGGATACAGGCTTCTCCCGATTCACACAGCCACAGGGGCTGGGAAACCCAAGATCAGCAGGTCGGAAAGCAGGGCTCTTGCTCACAGGCTGTGAATATCGACAGATCTCAAGATTGGCAGGCAAGAACACAAGGCTTCTCCTGATTCACGTAGCTGCAGGGGCTGATGAATCCAAGATTGGCAGGTTGCAAAGCAGGGATCTGCTCACAGGCTGTAAAGATCAACGAATCCCAAGATGGGCAGATAAGCTGCAGCCCAAGTTGCAAGAACCAGAGGTCAGACGAACAGGAGGCAGCCGCAGGATCCAGAGTGCGCAAAAAGTCAGAACATCTGCTTATATTTGGATGCAGACCACACCCCCAAGGAAACTCCCTTTCAACTGACTGGCTACTCACAGCACACTCAATCATGGGAGTGATCACATATAAACACCGAGAATCATGGCCCAGCCAAGATGACACAGAATCTTAACCATCACAGTCCACCCCTTGTCAACCTGGCACATGTACACATCTCCTCAAACCATACACAATCTCCGAATAAAGACAATTACAAAGTCATACTTGTGTCTAACATGATACAACTAACACAAGTACAATCAAAAACACACTAGCCCTGTTTACAGCTTATATTTTATAAGTGAAGGAAACAAAAATATTTGATGCACATCTACAAAGCAGAAATACTCATAACAATTACAGTCCCCGTTTCTGCAACTGGTGACGTAGCTGTAACTGGTATTTAGAACTACCTTCTTCCACCACCCATTCCTTATTACCTTTGCCCTCAGCAAGCACCTCAGCTGGTCATGGTTCTTTGCCTCTTGGGGTGACCCAAACCTTCATTCCTGAAGGGTCTAGGTCATTTACGTGGTGCTTGAGCTTACTCTGAAGCCCTGAGCTCATCTCTTTCTTTCACCAGTTTGTCTAGTGAAAGTAAGACTAACCAACCAGCTTCCTTATACTTCTCATTATGACAAAATTGTAGAAAGGTATCAAACATGTAATCACTCAGAGCCTCGCCTTTCACCAACACCTGATCTACTGGAAGTAATATTTTGCCTATTTCTATTGCCACTTCACATCATGGATTAGCAGTACTCTCTTTACTGCTGGAAGCAGAGTCATCAACATCTTTAAGACTAATCAGACTGGAGAACCAATTTAGAAAACTCATCCTTACAATTTTGTTTCTCTAGAACCACTTCCAGTACCAAATGTCTTAGGCTGGGTTCTCTAGAGAAGAAAAACCAGTAAAGCATACAAATATCTATATGGAGAGATTCATATTAAGGAAATGACTCACACGATTGTAGAGGCTGGAACGTTCCAAATCCATGGGTCAGGCTGGAGGCTTCTACTGATTCACACAGCCAAAGCGGTTGGCGAACCCAAGATCGGCAGGTCATACAGCAGGGCTCTTGATCACAGGCTGCGAAGACCGACAAATCCCAAGACTGGCAGGCAAGACAGCAGGTAAGCTGCTAGCTCAAGTGCCAAGAACCAGAGGTCAGATGAACAGGAGCCAGCTGCAGGATCCAGAGCGAGTAAAAGTCTGTGAGCCTTGCCACTAAGTCCACTTATATTCAGTGCAGGCCACCCACCCAAGGAAACTTGCTTTCAATTGATTGGCTACTCACAGCAGATCCCATCATGGAAGTGATCACATCATCATACTACTGAGAAACTACATTATAACTGCCAAACCACTGAGAATCATGACCCAGCCAAGTTGACATAACCTTAACAATCACATCTGCATATCATAGGTTGTTAATGAGTCTTCCACCAATCCTGATGCCAAGTTCTTCTTCATATAGTCCAGTTATTCATATTATTTGCTCAGCATACAGACTAAGAATGGTGAAAGGACACAACCCTGACACATACCTTTCCTGATTTCAAAACATGCAGTATTACCTTGCTCTATTCAAACTGCCTCTTGGTCTATGTACAGGTTCCACACGAGCACAATTAAGTATTCTGGAACTTCCAATCTTCACAATATTATCCATAATTCATCATAATCCACACATTCGAAGGCCTTTGCATAGTCAATAAAACACAGGTAAACAACTTTCTGGGATACTCTGCTCTCAGCTAAGATCCATCTGACATCAGCAATGATATCTCTTGTTCCACATCCTCTTCTGAATCTGGCTTGACTTTCTGGCAGTTCCATGTCAACATACTACTGCAACCATTTTTTAATTATCTTTAGCAAAAATTTTACTTGTATGTGATATGAATGATATTGTTTGATAATTTCTGCATTCTGTTGGATCACCTTTCTTTGGAATGGGCACAAATACGGATCTTTTCCAGTCAGTTGGCCAGGCAGCTGTCGTCCAAATTTCTCAGCATTCCAGCACTGCATCTGTTTGTTGAAATATCTCAATTGGTATTCCGTCAGTTCCTGGAGTCTTGTTTTTTGCCAATGCCTTCAGTGCGGCTTGGACTTCTTCAATACCATTCATTCTTAATCATATGCTACCTCTTGAAACGGTTGAATGTCAACCAATTATTTTTGGTATAGTGACTCTTTGTATTCCTTCCATCTTCTTTTGATGCTTCCTGCATCGTTCAATATTTTGCCCATAGAATCCTTCAAAATTGCAACTCCAGGCTTGACTCTTTTCTTCAGTTCTTTCAGCTTGAGAAATGCCAAGCTTGTTCTTCCCTTTTGGTTTTCTAACTCCAGGTCTTTTAATACTTTTGTCTTCTTGAACCACCCTTTGAAATCTTCTGTTCAGCTCTTTTATTGTATCACTTATTCTGTTAGCTTTAGCTACTCGATGTTCAAGAGCACATTTCAGAGTCTCTTCAGATATTCATTTTGGTCTTTTCTTTCTTTCCTGTCTTTTTAATGATCTTTGCTTTCTTCATGTATGATGTCCTTGATGTCATCCCACAACTTATCTAGTCTTCAGTCATTAGTGTTCAATGTATCAAATCTTTTCTTCAGATGGTCTCCAAATTCAGGTGGGATATGCTGAAGGTAACATTTTGGTCCTCATGAACTTGTTTTAATTTTCTTCAGCTTCAAATTAAACTTGCATATGAGCAATTAATGATTTGTTCTACAGTTTCCCCCTGGGCTTGTTCTGACTGAAAATATTGAAATTTTCCAACATCTCTTTCCACAGACGATTCCTGTGTTTTCCATCTGGTGAGGTCTACGTGTATAGTCACCATTATGTTGTGGAAAAAAGGTATTTGCAATGAAGAAGCCATTGGTCTTACAAAATTCTATCATGTGATCTGTGGCATTGTTTCTATCACCAATGTCATATTTTCCAACTTTTGCATTTCCACTCACCAGTAATTATCAATGCATCTTGACTGCATGTTTGATCAATTTCGGACTGCAGAAGTTGGTAAAAATCTTCAGTTTCCTCATCTTTTGCATTAGTGGTTGGTATGTAAATTTGAATGATAGTTGTATTAACTGGTCTTCATTGTAGAAGGATGGATATTATCCTAACATTGACAGTGTTGTACTTCAGGATAGATCTTGAAATGTTTTTTTGACAATGAATGCAATACGATTCCTCTTCAATTCGTCATTCCCAGCATAAGAGACCATACGATTGTCTCATTCAAAATGGCCAATATCCGTCCATTTTAGCTCTCTAATGCCTAGGATATCAATCTTTATGATTCCATTTAATTTTTGACAATTTCCAATTTTTCTAGATTCATACTTCATACCTTCCACATTCCAATTATTAATGGATGTTTGCAGCTATTCCTTCTCATTTTTAGTTGTGCCACATCAGCACATGAAGCTCCCAAAAGCTTGACTCCATCCACATCATGAAGGTCGACTCTACTTTGAGGAGGCAGCTCTTCCCCAGTCATATTTTGAGTGACTTCCAACCTGAGGGGCTCATCTTCCAGCACTATATCAGACAATGTTCTGCTGCTATTCATAAGGTTTTCACTGGCCAATTTTCCAGAGGTAGACTGCCAGGTCCTTCTTCCTAGTCTGTCTTAGTCTAGAAGTTCCACTGAATCCTGTCCACCACGGATGACCCCGCTGGCATTTGACATACAGGTGGTATAGCTTTCAGCATCACAGCAACACACAAGCTACCACAGTACGACAAACTGACAGATGTGTGGGGTATTTCAAATTCTCATGGAATCCATACATTCTAGAGCCATTAAGGCTGGATGAACCCCTGAAACTACTGCCCTAAAATAACCTTTAAACCTTAAACCAAAAATATCCCCTAAAGTCTTCTTTAAACCAAACTATAGTTTAGCTTAATTAGTAAAGAATATCTGCCTTGAACATTGTGCTCTTTTAAAAAACTATCTATATGGCATCAAATTGACAATAGCAACTCAAAAGGTTACAAAGGAAGCTTAGGATTCAGTGACTTTATGTTAAACTGCAGAGGAACAATTTGGAAAAGGAGGGTAAAAATGGCTGTACAACTTGAAAAACATAATGTCACTGAGTTGCACCTGTAGAAATTGGATTGGTTTACGTTCTGCTATGTATACTTTCAACAACAACAAAAATAAATAAATTATTTGCGGGGAAAAAAAAAGGCAGCCAGTATAAGGGCAGATGGCTCACCAAGGTGCTTAAATACTTCTGCTATGCCTCTGTTACAACAAAGACCCTGACCCTCAAGATTATAGAAAAACACACCAATGGCACCCTTCTGGCACAGCAAAGGGGTTAATTCAAACCTGACTTAAGCTTGGGGTCCTTAAACTCTGTAAAGTAACCATTGCCATGGGGGAAGCCCGTAACACTGTCTATACTGATTTAAGTTCTCTTGAGAAAGAAATTTATAAATATGAGCAGGATAGATAGGCCCTCTACCCACAGTATATCTAGGATAATACACGGCATTAACAGTATACAAACCATAACCACCAACACACAAACTCCAGAAGATAAACTAGATAACTGGGATCTTCTAAAAATCAAATACCTGTGCTCTTCAAAAGACTTCA